TGTCCGTCCATAGAAGGCGGATCCTGTGATCGACGTCCGGGGAATTCGTCAGCTGGAGGTGGCATGTAGATGGCCAACTTYGATGCATGGAAGACCCGATGCACTGTTAGGTGCGGTGGAATGTTGATCGCGAAGGAAGGACCGGCGGGGTCGTCTCCAACGGCAGAAGTGACTTCCCATGGTCCGAACCATTTCGGAAGGAGTTTGCGCGAAACATCCTGCTCGAGCGCAAATTCCTCGGAGAGGACCCAAACAAGGTCTCCCTCGCGGAAAGGACATGGAAGTCGACGTCGGTTAGCTTGCTGCTGCATGCGGACCTGAGCCTTTTGCATATTCGCGCGGGCTTTGATCAGCAAGTCCCGATACTTCCTGACAGAAGCGGGAGAGCAAGGGACGTCTATGTCGGCAACCTGTGGCAAAAGGAGATCAGCATCGTGCCGGACTCCGTCATGAGAGAAGTCCAAAAGGCTGACATGAAGCGAGTGTCTCGGTCGCTCACTATGTCTTCCGGAACACCTTGGTTGGTAATCCAACCAGTGTGCAAGCATGATACTTGCAAGGAAGAAAGCAAGCATACTTACTCAAACAGTCAACGACCGTGAGAATGCCGTCATGGCCGTGGCGATCGCGGGGAAACGGGCCTGTCACGTCCATAGCAATGGAGAGGCGTGGTGCCCGAGGGATCGGYAACGGTTTTAGTTCGCCGAAGGGGACTCGAGATCGACCCTTGTTACGGTGGCAAACTGCACATGACTCGATGTACCTTGTGACGTCGTGAAGAACGTCGGGCCAGTGAAAACGCTGGCGGAGGCATGCGAGTGTTCAGTTCACGCCAAGGTGTGCCGAAAGTCGTGCATCGTGGAATTCACCGAGAAGACGAGTCCGTAAGATACGATCTTGGGGCACAACTAACAAGTCCGTTCCTCTCGTGTGAAGGAGAAGGAACCCGTCGGAAATCCGGTAATGGTTAGCCGGCGGGTGATCCGATGAAAGCTTCGCATAAAGCGTAGAGTACGTCGGATCAGACTTGTAGCCTTTGACGAAATGCTGCTGCAGATCATTATCGAGGTCGAATGCCGTGGTCAAAATGGCGCAAAAGTCTGGCCGTCGTGAGAGGGCGTCCGCCGCTCGATTGGCGGGACCGGGAATGTGACACGGGTCAAAATCGAACTGGTCGATGTAATACATCCATCGACCGATCGWACTAGTGACCGTGTCCTGCGTTTTGTAAAATGTCAACGGATTTTTATCCGTATTCCATTTAAAACGCCGACGGCCGAGAAGAAAGTGGCGCCACCATTTGAGGACGGTGACAAACACGAGTAGCTCTTTCTTCCTAGCGTCATCAAGAGTGTTGACGAGAGGCACCTTCTGGGAGAAGTACTCAACGGGATGCCAACCATCCTCGTGACACTGTTCCAACACCGCACCAATACCGTATCCCGAAGCGTCCGTAGTCACTTGGGTGGGTAGGGTGGGGTCATATATACGGAGGGCAGGTGCGGCTTGCATCGCTGCCTTCAACGTAGTGAACGCACCACGGGCTGCGTCGTCGAACTCGAAGGGCACCTTCGGGGACTGAAGTCTCGACAAAGGAGCGGCCACTTTCGAGTATGACTCGACGAAACGCTGATAATATCCAGCCAATCCCATGAAAGAGCGTACATCCGTCGTGCAACGGGGTTCCGGCCAATCCACAATGGTTTGGATCTTGTCCGCTAAGGGACGAATGCCTTTCGGAGTGACAAAATGGCCCAACTACTCGAGCTCTTGCTTGGCGAATTCTCATTTGTCGAGATTCGCTTTGTACTTGGCTAGTCGCAAACGATTCAAGACAACGCGAAGATGTATGATATGCTCGTCCAACGTCCTGCTGTAAACCAAAATACCATCAAGGTAAATGAGGACGCTGCGATCGAGCAAGTCGCGAAACTCARTCGTCATTGCTGCTTGAAATGTAGCGGGGGCATTGGTGAGGCCAAATGGCATGACAACCCACTCAAAATGCCCATACCGCATCTTGAACGCGGTCTTGTACCGGTCTTGAGGCTGGATTTCAATCTGGTGGTAACCTGACTTCAGATCCAACTTCGAGAAGTACGTCGCGCCGCCTAGCCGCTCAAGGAGATCATCAATCCGAGGGAGAGGGCCGGCGTTCTTTACGGTTTGTGCGTTAAGTTTCCGATAGTCGATGCATAACCGTAGA